ATGAACTGTAGGCGTACGCAGGGATGTGCTTGACGAGAGATGCTCTTTTGTATCCAGGAAAGCGACCACCGATGCCATTTGGAGTGGAATACTTCACCGATACCATTCTCATAACTTCTAAAGATTTTCGGATGTTACTCTTCGAAGTTTCGTCTACAGCAAAACTGGTGCCATCTAAAAAGTATTGCACAAGTGCTAGGTTGTGCAATGCGTGCTGGACGTAAGCTGGTCCATAGAACGTCTKATGATGAAAACCAGTGTAGTCTGGTTTGACAAGTCCACCAAGTCCTTTGTTGAATTTAACAGCRTGCTTGAACCAAGTYTTCAAATARTTTAAATCAGTTATTTGTCGATCTTGGTCAGTATTGTCTATAAGTATAATCATCAGCCTGAAAAAAAGAATTGTCCTCGCTCGATCAGCAGTTGTWCCATCGWABACGTAGTTATCCTCTTCCTGGTAGATCTCATTAAATTCGTTATACCATTTCATAGCACCAACGAGGCTGTTAAAAAGATTTGTCTCTGTTCTCAAAGYTGTTCTCAGTAAAAACATAGAGTGCATGAATCCAGATCCACATTTATTCATTTCGTGATCGAGTGAACCAATAGCACTACCCTCGGCCCATCCTTGTTCCTGCAAAAACTCCAGTAAGGCTTTGATTCTTTTGAAACGCAAATCGTTGAGCTCATCAATGACGGCTTCCATCGAAGGAATACGTTCACTCACTTTATTGCAGTTCAGAGGATTACTSGGTCTTACTTTTGCAGCATCAACCAACTTTTTGAACTCCCCTTTCATAAATGCGCTCGTTCCTGCAATTTTCTCGACCGCAGGTAAGCTTGTTGTAACTGCTTGATTAAGCAAATCTGAACAGTAAGTGTTTGCCAGGAACTTTTTCTCGGCATCCCTTGTCCTCAAGTTATATTCTAATGCAAGAGGAAGTAGCACTTTTGGGAAAACATAGCCAAATGGCGTCATTGCGTCGTCACCAGTGCTGATATCATTCTCCCCTATGCCTGATTTAGATGCAAACAGGGTCGGTCGTTTATTGCTGAATTGGATATTATTGTACTTATCGTGCGCTTTCTTTATATCAGCCGAGAGCGTTGACCAACGACTGCTTTTTGCCGCTCTAAAGTCATAACCTGAAGTTTTCTTGATAGTTGTAGTAGACTGCTCGAGAGAAGAAACTGCCTCTGTTGTGCTTAGATACCAGTTTTCAAGTCGACTTTCAATTTTTGTTATGTCGCTAATTTTGCCTGGTTTGTCAGGGATTTCGTCCGGTGGCTGTGGAACTTCCTCTTCATACCACCGCAGTGTTTGCTGCCAGAAAGATTTTGCAGAATAAAAAGGAGGAGGCGAKGGCGAGGGCGAGGGCGAAGGCAACTGACCAGTTCGTCTTACAACAGTATCACGAGATTGTTTTTTAAGAGAACCAACTATCTGAACCAAGTCAATGAACAAGCTGTCAGCAGTAAGCGTGGTTATTTCAAATTCAATTGACGATAAGACACTTAAATCAAATTGACCAGAAGGAAATTCTGCGTATCCAATCCACACTGCTCTCCATCCTTTGAAATCTAACGTTACATCGGTCGGTGAGCTTCTAGTTGCTGTTGAACTTTTGTCGGTGCCGACAAAAACAATCTGCATGGTTGTTTTCGGGGATTTGTTCGCGCGRTACATCCAAAATTTGATTCCACCTCGAGAGAGTTCTTTGCCGGTTCTTGTGTTCGTACCAAAATCAAGAGTCAGTTTCACCTTTGTTGAGGATTGTGCCCGTGTTGGCCACGCCCAAAGAAGAGAGTTACTTCCACTTTTGTAGTGCGCTGTTGATCGTGATAATGAATAGCCTGTGGATGTTGGACTGATTGTGAAATAGTTATCTTTATCCCCAGCGGTTTCGAAGTCAATTTCTAGAAATATGAAAGTGGTAGATATGAACATAAGGAGCATAAGAACATGAGGACGTATAGACAAGAAAGAGTAATCTCTGACTGAAAACAAATAAAATGTGAAAAACGAAAGATACAGATATAGTTTTAATACCAATAACTTACTCACTTACGCACAATTAATCATGAAATAATCATCTCTATTTGACAATGATGTCACAACATGGGAAAAATGCAGTCATTTGCAAACTTTCTGAACGTTGGCACATTTATTATATTATTATTTTTAMTGATCATCAAATATAGCGCTTACTTAAATCACTTGATGCTGATTGTCGCTTTTGGATTTTTAAGATCTCGTCATCGTGTCCTTGGAATTCATTTATTGTTGATCCTCGGTGGATTTCTGAGAAGTGAAAAATTAGCCACATATCGATGAAACGAAACAAACACAGGAGGCCGCAAATGAGGCCTTGATTTTGATTTGTTCATAAAAGAAGATGCGTMGTCATATCTCCATATGTTCCATTAACTATAGGTCCTGATTTTCCATGTAAAGACGCCAAACGATATTGAATGTGACAGTCAATTTAAGACTTGCATGTTCACACTTTGTCGTGCGATATGAGCTGCGATTTTRCGGCGATTTTTATTGCACGTGTAGACAGTCGTCCTACTCAATTGACTTCACCGACAAATTTCAAATGTTAGAATTTACTGTGATAAACTTGCGAACTGTCGCTGTGAATTGGCATGCTCGTTATTTAGATTTGCTATAAAATCGCCGCACAAATCGCAGCTCGTATMGCATTATTACCTTTAAAATAAAATAAGAGTCTAATGCATTCAAAATACCTGGAAAAGCCGTAGTACCAATGATTTGGTATCTCAATAGAACAAAGAGGAACGACACTTTGGCAATTTCTGGTAGTTAAAAATATCATATGAGAAAAAGTACTAACAGAAAAATTAGGGCCTGAATGTATGAAACTAATGGTCACGCGGTGCACTAGATATTCTTCTATAAAAAGATTAATATAAAAATTATGTAATACCTAAAAGCGGAGCTCCAGTTGCAAAAAGGAGATAATGATTATCTAGTACTACTACATCAAGAATAATCTTAGTGGAGTTCCGCTGATTTCAAGGAATGTAAAGACAACATCTTTTSTTGACATGTGAACAAAATAAAAGGAAATAAAAAACACTTTTCCGTGAATTATACTCTGATAAAAACACACGGGATGTGGGGAGAACACGAGAAGCGTAGGAACGCGCGGTAACCGTGCGTCGGTCCATGAAAACTTTACTCGATGGATATACCATTTTTTCTTAGGTATGGTGCTCCGTTCTGTCCGCGCGGGAGCTCCGCTTTGRAATCTAAATGTCGTTAATTCGGGATTTTAGTATAGACCACTGATTTCACATCAACCCTAAATCAACGTGGAAGCTCTTACAAAAATCAATCGATTATCAATTAGCAACCTAAGAATGGTCGGGGCAAGAGAATGAAATGGGATCCTAGCTGCAGTTCTAAGGGCTATATATAGCCCTTAGAACTGCAGCTAGGATCCCATTTCATTCTCTTGCCCCGACCATTCTTAGGTTGCTAATTGATAATCGATTGATTTTTGTAAGAGCTTCTTATAAGTCTATTGTTTAGAAAACAGGTGTAAGCCATGTTATAGGTCTTATAGAAATCTCAAGGAATGAGAACAATTTGTTTTGATTTTGTTCCTATTATTGTAGAAGTAAGTAACAACATATTTTTTATATTTCTCAATTCGATCSTGAAACTTTTTAAGGGAACAAGAAACTTCCATTGTTTAAGAAAAGCGATTGGTCCTCTGACTCCGTGAGAATTCCAAAATCCGAGATCTATAGACTATCATTTCACGTTTATCATTTTACGTTGTGAAAGAGAATGGTCAACATTTTATCGAATCAAAGGAAATACTTTACGAGAAAAAGATTAAGTAAAAAGTACCTAAAAAAGAAAAAATGAAATCACAATATTAAAAGGAAACATTTTTGAAAAATCGAAAACAAAGAAAACGAAAAKAATTTTTTCGGAGCTAAAAAAATACCTCAAAATATTTATATGTAAGAAGAAGACTGAAAAGAAAAAAGAGGGAAATGGAAAAGAAAAATGAACGATGAAATATCAAAATAAAATAAAATAACTAGCTATCATCATTGTAAAAGAAATATACTGACATGAAAAACAAAGTTATAGCAAACAAAACTCAAGGCAACTTTTCTCGTACCTTGCCAATTGTATCGTGAGCCCATGTTGAGTACCAGCCCTTTGCACCTCTTCAAGTTGCCTCTAAAAGTGACGTGAACTAGTGATGGAACCCGATATTTAACACCATTTAGTTGTTGCTATAAAAAAATCCGGTCTTTAAGCTCAGTACGTCTTGGTTATACCAGCAATACACTTGTCACACTATCAGTCAAACACCATTTAATCGSTGTCATTTTCTTAAACATAAGTGTCAAAAATCTAGGATTAAATCAAGGTACATCCTAGGTAGAGCTGGTTCTCACTTGATCATGTGATCACAATAAAAAGTTGTTTTGAAGAATAATCTAGAAATCCAATGCTTTTTRATTGGAAAGAAAGTTAGATGCTAAATCACCTCATTAGGTTTTGATTCAATTTGTTCTTATCACAGCCAACGTTAAGCGATCACAAATTATTRACAAAGCACTATGAAATTATTATGGTTCACAGGTTCCCACACTTTTAAATAGCTTGCTAAAATCGTTATTGAGAGTTTTTTATATAAGCATTCCGTTACCTCTACCAAGAAGAAAAATTCAGGAAAAGTTGTGGAGAAATCAGGGAAAATTTAAACACTTTTTCTTAGGTGTTGTMTCGATACTACGCGGTCTCCACAGCATCCACCCGCGCATGCAAGGAAAGACTTGGAACTAGGCTGTATCAATCAATATTTGAGCAATAAATATATGCGCTATGTTGGTTTTCAAAACGGTGGAACGCCAACATGATGACAACGAAAAAAGGGGCTTGAAAATTCACTTGACATCATCTGTTTTCATTCTAGATCTTTATTTGCAGTCAAAGATTTATTTACGTGTTTTTGAATCGAATAACTAGACAGAGAAAGATTTCAAATTTTCATGAGAAATTTCTTTTCTAAAGTTTCTAAAGAACATTTAGAAAAAAAGGATTTCCATAGAAAATACTAGAATTTCTTGCATTTCGTAAAGTCATAAGATGAAAACACTATTGTTTGAGCACCAGCAAAACGCTTTTCATAGTGTCAAACGGCAATTAATTTCTTGATATCTTTTTTTCTCATCATATATGCAAAGCACATGGCCTTTACTGAAGCACGTCATGTTTCGGTTGCGTTGTTTCAATAGCCGACTTGGGAATTACGCATCAATAGGAATCAAGGAATCAAGGAATCAAGGAATCAAGGAATCAAGATGAGGCGCCGTGCTAAAGACAATAGATTTTTCACAAAAAAGCACGGCGCCTCGTCTTGATTCCTTTGTATGTGACTATTGATGCGTAATTCGCAAGTCGGCTATTGCTCTACCAGTAAGCAATCAGGTGCCATCTCATCTCATCTCAACAGCAAATGTCTTGGAGCGAACTCGGGCACGAATGTTTATTCAGTCCTGTGCCACTAACGCTGTTTGAATAAGCAATCACCAGAGCATCATTAAAAAAAAATAACCAGTTAAAAAACAACGCCCACCTCTTTTTTTTTTGATGGCGTACTATTTAATAAAGTTTCAACAAAATTGAAAAAAAATTCACGACTTTCCATACTCACGTCCAGTGACCACAAACAAAGGATTGAACCGCATTGAACACTGCGCACGGATCTTTTCTTATATGCTCACTGTACCTTGACGCCTCGGTTCAATGCTCTTTGTTCATGGTCACTGAACCTGTGTATGGAAAGTCGTGAATAGCGCTCCGCACAGATGACGTCACACATTTTGCACCCCGTCGAGAACTCAGACAAACTTTACAATGCTGCATACTAATCCTTGGTAAATTCGCTATCTTTAGTCATCGATAATGGGTAGTTAAACGCAACGAATTTCTATTCTGACGTGTAGGGCTCTTAACTTTGATAAACTTGCAAAAATTCCAAATTCGAGTGAATAAAACGATGTTTCACGGCCCCTTATCTCATCCTAATCTCGAATTATTTAGGGCTCCGAATCTTAAATATTAAAATCTAAAATTGAAGCTATATCGTCAGAAAAATAGCATTTTAAAGACTTTTTGAGCAATAGGCATCTCATTTAGGAATCTAAATCAAACAAAGTCAAGAAATAGAGTATTCAAAGAAGCGGAAAATTATATATGAGCAAAAGTAAAGCGAAAGCCCGGGCCCGGGGCGAAAGCGGTCTGTTAAACTGGCCCAAAACTTGTGATTAAACTAATAGGAAACCATTATGTATATACGAATTAGCTTGAGTTGATATTTCTTTAGAATTTATTTTTTATTCGCATATAATACTAGTCGATTGAGTTTTCAAGTTTGACATAAAGATCACACACAACGCCGTGATCCTCCAAGATTCGATGGAATCAAATGCGTTTTAATGAAGTTTACTTTCCTCCTAACAACTAAAGGAGCCGATTTCGATTATCTCCAAATACTTCTAGAGTAGTTTTTCTGGCAAAAATTTATATAAAACACATTTCATACTACCGTAACATAGGTCAGGTAGCGGGCATAAGTCCCAAGACGATAGGCGGATCTGCGAGACATTCAGGGCATTTACAGATGATATTCCATGGTCCAATGAAGCAGTAGTGCTTACTCGACATAATCGTTATGTTTAAAAGCTTCTAGTACGAATATAATTGAAGATATTTATCGATGAAATCAGTGGTTTTTTGGTGTGTTTGTATGGCGTGTTTGGGTTCAATGTCTGAGTCCATAGGGGGTCGCATATTAATGTATCTATTTTTAGTAACTGTGCGGAGCGCTATTGTCAAACCAGAGAACAAAGCCCCTTTTTTATCTTCAATTTAACATTTATCAATTTATGTATAGCCTATGTTGAAAAAGGTTGTCCACCTAAAAAGACATTTCCAATGTTCCAATTGTCAAGTGCCATGATTATATTAAGTTTCTGCGCGTGGAACATTCTGTGACATTCACGTGACTGTCACGTGACATGTTTTTTTTTTATGTGGACAACCTTTTCACAATGAATAGTAAAGATTTTTATCTTCTCGTTTTTTAAGAATGAAGGAATGTCATAGTGGCGTGAGAATCGAGCATACTGTTTCGACATGGAAAATCGTTSAAGGTAAACGAAGAGTTGACTGATCAAAACACTATGAAAGCGCTATAAAAACAAGATGGATTCTKATTTCTTCTTAAGCCGCTAGCAATCTTATAGCTAACTATTTGAAAGTTTTACTTTAATGTCTATATAACAAAGTGATTTTCCTAAAATTCGGGCTTTTTGGAGCATGCATTCATCTGGGGACGACTTCTATTATCAGTCAAGACAAGACAAAACAATRCAACAAGTAGATATGCTTGTACATTTACAATGTTAAGTCTGACATAAAAGAGAACAAACGAATTCAAATGAAGATCAATCGCAATATATTAGTTTAGCACATAGCAATTACTGTTAGGATTTATAATTTTACAAATTTCTTGCCTTTGACTTTTTAARGAGATCAAACATAGGTTATTGTATCAATAAACCCTTTGAAAATTTATGCTAATTTTTTAGGCCAGCTCTTCAATTGATTGGACGCCGCCTTTGTGATAAAAATCGAAAATTAGATAATGGTAGCCGAAATAAAATATGCGCTCTAAAGCATCTGGTTAAAAATTTTTTTTTTTTAATGTTCATTTTAAAACTTGTATGTTATTACAGACAACCAAGTCATTTCGACCGTTTCCTGGAAATAAAACTTCAAAAATCTCTCGAAGTGTGTCCTCAGGGGTGTTTCCTCCGCCAAAGGTTTGATATGACAGACTTTTCATTTCGTCCAACATCGACATGCACATTTTGCATGTCAATCTCTCTTCGAGATGCTCCAGCTTTGCGGGAGTTTTTGGTCCTTCACAAAKCACGCTTTTTCCAACTTCATAATGCCTTTCACAAATCTTTGGCTTTCCTGCAATCATGCCTCTTTTGGTGTTTGTATTGAGATCTTTATCGGTTGTGTTTGACCAGAAATACACGGCACAGTCGATGAACCAGAGAAGTTGCGGCAGAAGYTCTTCTACGCATTTCTCCAAACGGATGGCCTTTGTTAGGACGATGTTTTGGAGACTTTGTGTGTCAAGTTGTACATCTTTTAATGCTTTGAAATTGAGATTCTTTAGACGACTTTTGCATTTAAAACTTAGCTCTTCACAACTAAATCTTTCTGCCAAGTTTAAAAGCTTTCCAATGTTATCGCCTGTTATTTCTTGGGATGTAAGGAACTTTCTACAAGCATTAAGCACACTTTTTACTTGAAACTCATCAGCAAGGTCGTAAATATACTCAACGCTTTTCACTATAAGAAAATACATACAGTGTAAGCGTTCAGTTTCTTATATGTCTCCCCGAGTGGGGAAGGTACTTAATCCAGATTCCAACGGGGAAGTTGACCAGGTACCTTTAAAACCCTGACCCTATTTCAAGGCAGCAAAAACGTGAAATTCCACACAATTTTCAAGACAAATTGGTAAAATAACAAAACACTGTCCGGGACATAAACCCSAGAGCGTTCCGTAAAAGATGTCAATATTTCATGTTTTTTACATTTTGACTTTGCAGTCAACTAGATTAATATTGACACCCTGTATAAGACATGGACAAAATAGAAGGTACACCCGTATCCAAAACACTGAACGTCAATTCATAGCCTTACATAGATATGAATATGAGGACCGCATGGCACTATAGTAGACACGATATAGAAGAAAGAAAGTTATAGTGCTTAGAAGGAGGCAATTCCGGGATAAAGACCCTTAGGAATAAATTCGGAAAAATTATCTTTACATTAATATTCTATTACCGCAACCTAACATCTATTTCATCCCGACCTGCTCCCAGTCTGGCCTTGTAGCTCAGCTGGTAGAGCATCGGTAGTACAAATCCGAAGGTCCACCCGGTTCACTCTGTGGAAATGGGCTCAGCCGGGAGAAAGAAATTTCCCTCAATGGGCTCAGCCCACCTCAAAATACATTCCCAGCATTCTCATGCCATTTCAGTGCGTATTGTTTTGTTTTGACCAATCACATGCCGTGCTGTTGCTGTTAGAAACTTTGGCTCTTAGTATGCAGTCGCCATTTTGTTTTGCACCGGTTTTGTAGTAAAAATGAAGCGTTCGAGGTTAAAACCATTTAGTTTTAAAGCGACCATTATCGACAAAACCGGTAAAGGAGTTACAAAATCATACAATCTGCCACCAGCTAAAAAGTCTACATTTTCAAGTCTTGCCCCCCATACTGAAAGGGAAGACGTTCTACCAGCAATCAGTGGATTCTTGACGTTCGACGATCAGGAGCCATTGAACTTCGGGATTACGAACTACGAGAAACGGCAGATTACTTTAAATAAGAAATGGACAGATATTCGAAAGACTGTTTTAAAGTCATTTGTTAAAGACTGCCACATGCCAGTAGGTCAAGAATGTGTTGTGTGCGGATCAGAGCCGGCTGTTCTAAAATGTGAAGACTGTGGTTCACGACAATTCTACTGCTTAATATGCGGCCATTCTTTACATAAAAGCCGAAACCAGTTTCACGTATTGGAACTATGGAAGGTGCGTCATAAAATTGTGTGTTTTTGATATCAGCTGAGGTCATTTTTCACTGTTGTTTTTGTTTTGTAGGGGAGAACGTTCGTGCCATATTTTATAGAGGGAGACGTTCTTGCAACACACACGTGCAGCTCTGCTAACGCAAAAAACATCGTATGCATTGATGAACACGGTTCGTTTTAAGCTGTTATCTTTAAGTTTATATTTGATAATTTTTGAACATAAAAACAAAACTGAAGCAGCATCTTGACTCTCTTAATTGACTCTTGAATACATGTACTTGCATATTAAGCTTCGTAGTATCCAGAAATCAAAATGTATGCTTTTTTTATTCATTAAGCGTACTTAACTTTGATTCTTATCTGTATATACAGGAAATCAACACGCAAAAAAAGTTTCTTTCTGCAGTTGTGAATCTGCTGTTGTTACATTAGTTCGTCTTCGTCTTTGGCCTGCTACACCTGACAGGCCATCAACAGCATTTAGTTTCAAGCTAATGGATCTTGTTTCAAGTGTCTTCCTTCATTGCAAAGTCTCTTTAAAAGAATTCACCGAGTGCCTTGAATCATTAAGGAAACCTCTTCATCCAAGACTGGTAAATATTGTTTTGAATGTTATGTATGAATTTTTACAGATCAAGCTATGTAATAATAATAATGATTCTAAGCTAGTTTATTATAGTATGTAAATAAGTTAGCAGTTCCTTTATGGCAAATTGAACTACTGTATACTCTTGTAAACAAACTGATATTCTATCAGAATCTTGGGTTTTGAATGAGCAAAATTGAATTGTAGTACAATTTATTTGACTGATTATCAAGGCTGTCAGACTATTTAACAATTAGACATCTCGACCTTGTGAACTACACATGTAAGTTGGAACTTGTCTAATTTGTTAATCATACTTGTATTATCAGAGACAATTATATATACTGTATATACACATGTGCAACTGTTTCATGATATATTTTTTTGTAATGTAGATCAATTGTAAATGATTTCATACATATTTTTTTCCTCCTGCATTTAGGTGTCCTCAATTTATCAACTCCTTAATGCCAGTTGTTTTGAAGAATACAGGTTTGTCTACAAAATGTCAATATTTGTAAAGCACAAATATAATTATAATATAATAGATTATGTATATTTTTTGCAGGTTTTTCAAGCACCAGTTGTCTACATTAGAGATGTCGAAGGTCGTGGGTTCGAATCCCAGCGAGGTCGGAAATTAATTTTTCCGAATTTATTCCTAAGGGTCTTTCTCCCGGAATTACCTACTTCTAAGCACTATAACTTTCTTTCATTTCTATATCGTGTCTACTATAGTGCCATGCGGTCCTCATGTCCACATCTTTACATTATAGCCATACATAGCCTGACATATCCTTATACAGCCTTACATAGAGTTACATAGCCTGCCATAGCCATACATAGCCTAACATAGCCTGGCATAGCCTAGCATAGCCTTACATAGCCATACATAGCCATATACAGCCATACATTATAGCCTAACATAGGCTGACACAGCCTGACACAGCCTGACATAGCCATAATACATAGCCTAACATAGTCTGACATAGCCTAGCATAGTCTTACATAGCCATATATAGCCATACATAGCCATACATAGCCTTAGCCTGATAAAGCCATGCATAGCCTGACATAGCCTGACATAGCCTAGCATAGTCTTACATAGCCTTACATAGCCATACATAGCCATACATAGCCTGACATAGCCTTACATAGCCTTACATAGCCTTACATAGCCTGACATAGCCTTACATAGCCATACATAGCCTTACATAGCCTTAAATAGCCTGACATAGTCATACATGGCCTAAAATACCCTTACATAGCTATACATAGGCACACACGCCATTGCATAGCCATACATAGCATTACATAGCATTGCATCTACATCTACATGGTTCCAGCACTTGTCAACGTTCATTGGGTTACTAGCTGTATATTAGTAATATGAGGTCTCATTGACTAGTAACCTTTATACGAACACTACGCCAAGCTGACCTCAATGCTGGTGAGATGAGCACTGGCCACACCACCGGGAACTCCGTGCCCTACTCTTAGTCGAATAGTGGTATGGGTTCTTTAACGTCCCTCTGATGCTAATGAGAAGTGTAGASAGACGGGACCTCCGATTTAACGTCGTTATCCGAGAGGACGTGAAGATCTTACCATTTGCAGATGGAGAAACAAAGGCAGCAACTTCTACTCAATTATTTTAAGGCCCTGAGTATTGGTCCGACCTCCCGCATTGTAGTCCGATGCTCAACCAAATGAGCCAATCGGTTTGCGGTTAGCCATACATAGCCTTACATAGCCATACATAGCCTTACATAGCATTACATAGCCATACATAGCCTTGCATAGCTTTACACAGTCACACATAACCTAACAATCGCATTACATAGCGTTACATACCAATACATAGCCATACATAGCCTTGCATAGCTTTACACAGTCATACATAACCTAACAATAGCATTACATAGCTTTACATACCAATACATAGCCTTACATAGCCATACATAGCCTTACATAGCCATACATAGCATTACATATAGTCTTACTTGTTATAGCAGCTGTAAACTGTAGTGTGTAAATCTGCTTCAAGAAGTCAACAAACTCAGTAACATTTTTTCTTGGTAGATTTATACATGGCATGCCTGAAGACTTGGCGAACATGGCTTGAAACACYGTTGATGACATTCCTAGGATGATTTTGTGAACATGAAGGCTTTGCCCCTCAATAATAAGAACGGCATCACTGTCCTTCCATGGTTTGGAAAAATTGAAATTTTCCTCAGAACAATCCAACTCAAGCTCTTCAAAGAAGAAAAAACATTATATCTTCATAATGAAAGCAAAGTAACATGTAAAGTCAGGACAACCTGGCAGAGCCGCTCTACTTAAAACCCACTCTACATCAATATTTTTATCTGRCTGGCAAAATTGTTAGTTTATGTACTTGCTGGCATTTTGATGAGTAAAATTYGAGCTGTCTGGTAAAATGTATAAATAAATAAATGTATATATACTTTCTTTTGTATTGATATCAGTTCGAAAGAAGGAAATCAATGTGCATTGTTCAAGACGAAAATTTTCAAAATAACCCTAAAGATGCCAAACGCCTTTTTAAAAGGTTGATGTAACATTGCAAAATTTAGGGCCACTTAAAGATAGAAAATAACAAAACTATACTGTATTGCGTGCAAATTTTTGTTAAAACAATCAAAGACACCCTGCTCATTAGCATAACTGCCGTAACTTTTCTTTCCTCCAAAAGAATTATTAGCCATGAAATACTTAAGAATAAAAGTTACTTAAGAGCTCTGCTAAAGCTCAGCAGGTTCCATTGGAAATCCATAGAGATATGCATTTTTTTTTTTAATTACAAAAATGGTTGAGGATTGTAGTCTGTTTACCCCCAATAGACATACATTTCTCTGTATTTTTTTTTAGATGTATCTATCTATGCTGTATGATAACATTCTTGTCATTAACTAGATATTTTTACCTTTCACATTGTCATTTTTCCCCTTTGTTTCTGAAAAAGAAATAATAAAGAGTAAGCTTTTACTTACATTAGTCATTGAGACAAAAGCTTGGACGGGATGCCTGTGGACTCTGGCCCTTTTTTTCCTTATAAAAAAAACGAATATTTGCATTGAAATTATGAGCTGAAGTTAAAAAAATTCAGGGTCCGCTATTCCTTTGTACAGAGTCAGAATATATCCATGTATACCTTTCTTGGGAGTGTATTGCAGTGTTGCAGGATATATTGGCTTGTTATCAGGATAGCTTACTGTGGGCCCACCAACTAATGTATTTGGAACGCTGCCTAAATCTTTGGAATAAACTGGTGGCTCCTCACCAAAGACACAACAGAGGATTTGAAGAAGAGTTTCTAAATCTGAACCCGGCTGTAACAAATGAATGAATCATAGACATTACCTGAGGACATTACATGGGTGCATATGGTCGATATGGATTTTATCTTYGTGTGTGGAAAAGATCTCAAACTTATTGTTCTTGGAATCTCTATATATTGAAGGCACTAATAAAAGTTGTTTGAAAACATAATTTACTTTCATAGAAAATTATATGGTAAGCAGAATCATGGATCGAGATACGGATTCTATCTTCTCTTATTGAGGATCTTTTCAACACAAGATAAAATCGAGTATCTCTGCACACCCATGTTATAATTATGYTATATATTAATGCGTGCACAACCTACATGTTTCCATTCTGTTATATAGGGCAGGTAAACTCTTCCTGATCGATCAACATATCTTGTAGACCTTAGTACCATAGATTTGGTTGGTCGAACATAAACAATTGGATAAGTATATGGATGCTTGGTTTGAAGAAGCACACATATTGGGAAATTATATTTGGAGTCTGCAATAGAAAATAATTACCCGATAAAAATCAAAAACAATATACAAGCATCAGTAAACCCATCTACAGATTCAAATCTGGTTTCATTAGATGGTTTCATAATCAAGATTGCTTAATTTAGTGTGTGGTGCAGGGACTTCAAATAATAAGGCAGCTTCACTGACACTGCCTATATGACATGGATGTCAGAATTGCCCAGTTTAGGAGTGCATTCCACCCATTGCAGAACATGTATTCAGTTGAGTAGGAGAGYGAATTAGCATATAAACRAAATTACCTTTGAACTTGATTGGAATTGTTCCCTGCAGTCCAAAAAGCTCTGTTTCTCTCCCATCATCATGAACTTTATCATCAAAAAGAGGAGATTTTTGAGTATAGTAGGGTTCACATTTTAAACAAATGTGTGTAATCATCATCACCTATTCTACCATCCTCTAATCCTTCATTCCCAAATCTATTATTCACTATTTCTCAAGTCCATAATCCATCATTCTCTATTTTCTAATTCTCTATTCTGTCATTCTACATTCAATCAATCCCATTCCAGCATTCCGTGTTCCATCATTCCATATCCCATCATTCCCAAGTCCATTAATCCCATTCTACCATTACCTATCCCATCATTCCCCATTCCATCAATTCTAGTCAACCATTAACAATCCTATCATTCGCAATTCCATCAATCCTATTCCAGCATTCCCAATCCCTTCATTCCTCATTCCATTTCATCAATCCTATTCCAGCATTTCCTTTCTCAACATTCACAATTCCATCAATCTCATCCCACCATTCTCTATTAATTCATCATTTTCTGTCCATCTTTCCCTAGTCCACTAATTCCTATTCTTCCATCCATATTCATACATTGACTAATTTTGTACCGAAGGAGAACTAAGAGTTTAGAATAATAGAACTTCTTACTAGCTGACCTCCCTGAGCAAGAAACTGGTTACACATCCCTAGATTGTTATTATGGTTTGATACAACATAGAACAAATTAAAGATACTGTCCGAATTTGGTATCAATCATATCAACAGTGACCAATGCCTTCCAAATACATTTATAGGGTGACAGACACTGCATCATKATTTTTCCAAACGTCTATTCTTACATTGCTTTGTAAAATCTAGAATTTCTAAAAAGTTATAAAATTGTTCACATTTGATCTGATTAACATTAAACATTGTGTTTTTGTTATCAGGGTGCAATCTTTSTTTCTATATAATTCTTATCTCATCATCTTGCGGACTTGTGCCCAGTCTTCCTCGGTATGAAATCAGGCAATTTCCTATTTTTCGTTCCCTATCAACTATTCACTATTCCACCATTACTTCTACCCTATTTAAGAAATTTTATTATAGATTTTATGTCCTCTTATTTGCTAAGATTTGCGCGAACTAACAAGGTAGGGGAATCCCAGGCTTCTTCGACATTCAATACTGAGAATGCTGATGGAATTCCAACACATAAGAATCATCATTAAAAAAATTATATCAAAAAAATATCAATAAATATGCATCAAATATAACTAAATTTACACTATATATTTCCTTTTATAATCAACATCTGACCRATCTTTTCACTGTTGAAGACAATTCTGTCCGCACCAAATGTGTTTGGAATTCATAATTAGGGAAATTTCCCTACCAATGCCATGAATTCAWGCATGAATATTATGCTTTTTTATACTGTAAGAATGAAACTTCACATTTTGAAAGAGGAAATTCTTACCAAATTTTTCCATAGTCGGCCTCAAGTCTCTATAACTTTCCATAGCAAGTATTATCTGCTTCTGGAAAAGGTCTATATTTTCATACTGAAACAAAAGCAGACAAACAAAATTTAAAACGTCAAGAAATACACACCGATCGAATTGTTCGATGCGTTGTTGACTTGTACTTGTAGCAATAATGTAAATGATAAAGTTATATGAAAATGACTCTCGGCAAAGTGAACAACATTAACGTAAAAGACAAAGACAATCAGTCCTGTGTCATTCTCGCTGCACTGACCTAAAAAAACATTACTTTTTACATACCTTACTCTTAGCCAGCTTATGTTTCAATAGCGAATTAAAACTCATTTTGACTCTATATCTCCGTGATATTGACGCGTGAAAGCAGATTCTCAATCACTTTGCTCCTTGTGACCATGAAAGATCCGCAGCTGTGACAGAATTCGACAGCCTGGGATAATCCCTAATCCTGGGCGAGAGGTTGCAACCTCGTCCTCAGTGCTACTCGTTCAATTCCCTTCTTGGGGAACCCATGAAAAATATATATCAACATATTTTGATAAAAAAGCCATAGAATCAGATTCGATCAGAATCGTTAGATGTACGCTGATTTCAACTGGAGTTTATCACTCTAAAAAGACCGTTCATTTTTTATCGGGAGGGGGTTTGGTTTTTGAAACTTTCTCGGAAAAAAACACAGCCCTCCCGTAGGTGGATACATAGCCTGAGTATCAGGCTCTCTCGAAGGGGCCCTAAACCCCTTCGAGAGAGC